GGCTGCCTCTAACAGAGGCAGCAGCAGGGAGCGCAGGGGTGAGTAGGAAAGCAGGCAGCACGATGGAGACGGTGCAAGGGGAACCGGCTTTTAAGCCAGCTCCTCTTTCCCCCCCTTCTCTCCCTTCCTTGCTACCTATGACACAGAGGCAGTGGAAGGTGAGGAGGGGTGGGGAAAGCAAGTAGTCAAGTACTCAACTCAACTACCTCTAACAGAGGCAGCAGCAGGGAGCGCAGGGGTGAGTAGGAAAGCAGGCAGCACGATGGAGACGGTGCAAGGGGAACCGGCTTTTAAGCCAGCTCCTCTTTCCCCCCCTTCTCTCCCTTCCTTGCTACCTATGACACAGAGGCAGTGGAAGGTGAGGAGGGGTGGGGAAAGCAAGTAGTCAAGTACTCAACTCAACTACTTGCTTACATCCCTAGACTGTAAATCTCTTGAAGCAAATATTATTTATCAGTATCCTGCATTGCTGATGCTGAACAAACAAGTTGTCAAGATGTAGGTAATGATATGATTAAGGCAGATAAATATGCAATATGAATGCAGTGTGGCTGAAGAGGGCTTTGTGCCCATTCTCACCTCTGTTTCAGTGCAGGAATCTCTGTGGGTTCTGGCTCAAGAATTTCACGGGCCAAGTTAATGTCCTCAGTCTCCCGTAGGAGTGCATAGATTGGCTCAATCTGCTCATTAAACCTTGCCACAAGAGTCCGGGCATCCTTTTTGGGCGTTGCCGACTCATCCTCTTCCACTTCATTTTGACAGAAGGTACAGCGGAAGGTTCCTAAAGAGAAAAGAAACTGATGAGCACAAGGAGAAAGTCAAAAGGCCCAACTCTTTAAGCAGCATTTAAAGAGAGAGTGAGAGTATTTTGCTGTTCTCATATATTGAAACTACATAGTTTTTTTCCTTGAGACAATTTTCTTCCCACACATAATGTACTGGATTATTATTTTAACCACATAAAGTAAGATTTTAAATGCCATCTAGTGATGCTGAAAACAGGGTAGGGTTTTTCACTCTTTGTGAAGCCTTATAGGATGGCAAATGGCACCATTCAGGACATATCTTAGCATTACACATTCTTTTCTTTGCCATACATTTTAATGGCACTGCAATATCAGTTTCAAGATGTATTTTGGGATGGGTATCTCCTGTTTTAGGGGTCTCCATTGTCTGTAAGACTTGCATTCATCCCTTTCCAAAATAATCCAGGGGGGAGGCAAGGGCAGTTCACTCAGGTTCATTGAATACTGTTACACCTTGAACCTCTGTAATCTGGCACTCTCTGGTCCAGCAACATCAGTGGTCCGACATAATTTTAGTTAGCTGGACATCCACTTTTCATGGGTGTGGCCAAACTTCTTGTGGTCCCGGCCAAACTTCTTGTGGTCCCATACAGTTTGTTTACAGCCTCCAGTCCTGGCTCCCAGTGTTCCGTGCTGTTATTTAGCTCTAATTTAACCCTAAATGTCTTCTGAGAGCTCAGTAAACAGTGGACGTGTTGGCAATACTTCTAGACAATATTGATCTCCTGTGGTTCTACAAATTCTTTGGTTCGGCACCAGTTAGATCCTGAGGGTGCCAGATAGATAGGTTCAACATGGACTGAAAACAGTGTTTTTAATGCTCACATTCCACAAAAGGAATAACCCATTCCCTTTCCTTTTCAATTGGTAGCAATTTTCTCCAAAATGTTATTTTCCATGCTTGGTCTCCAAACAAAGGCAATTTTTTTTCTTTTTAAAAATCTGTTCTGTTAGTTCAGAGTAGGTATCTAAGAAAGTAGTTGAGTCCACTACTAGACTACTTGCTTCCTTGAGAGGGGAGGAGCTGGTGCTGGGGAGTCTGGCTTAAAATTTGGTTCCCTCCCCCCTCCCCTCTATCAGAAGCAGCAGCAGGGGGTAGGGGAGGCTACCACGCATCAGCCTCTGCCCACAGCCCCTGTTCCCGGCCAACTCTGTGGCTCTTAAAACATTTAAAATGCAGAGCCACAGTGGTCCTGGCTCAGGGACCTGTGCACCCATCTCCTACCACATTTAAACTGCAGAGCTGCAACGGGAGCAGCTCCTGGACTGGCATGAACCGGTAGAGACTAATTTCCCTTATTGACTAATTGCGTAATCAATTCAAATTGACAAAGTGATTAGTCAATTACCTGCATCTTAACATCCTTAGTTCTGAGTTGCTTGATATTAAAGAAAAAAAAGGGAGCGGGGAGGGGAAGCCTGGTCTCTTGCATTTTACTGAGAATTTTTGGGTAAGAAAGATCAGAGTTTACTCTAATTCAGCTTGTTTTATTAATCAACATGACCTAAGAAACAAGCCAAGTGAAAAGGAAATTGGTCCAGTGGCACTGAAGTTAACTTTAAAAAAAAAAAAAATAAAATAAAAAAAAAAAAAAGAGTTCCAGTGGAGGATTTTCTGTTTCATTTTACTTGATAATCTGTATGTAAGAATTTTAGGGAGGCACATTAATAATAGGACTTTACCATCCAGCACAATATTAGAGGTGCTGCAAAACACATTCTCATGCTAAATTTGCAGTGATGCATAGGAAATTCAGGTCATGCCAAATCCTAGATGGTGAAAGTGGTGTTGTTTTGCTAAGTTGACAGCTGACAGCAGAGGTTTTGAGATTTTTCTTTGCACTTCTACCACTAACTGGTTGCATTATTTTTCCCGTTATATAGCAAACATTCAGTGTAGCCTCAGAGTGCCCTATGAAGAAGGTAAATATTTTCACAAACAGGGAACGTGAGGCATTGAGAAGTGACTTGCAGAAGGCCATGTGGAAAGTAAGTGCCAAAATTTGGATTTGGAACCACACCTTCTCACTCCTAGTTTCTTGCCAACTGAACAGATTAAAGCATCTGGTAGGGAAGCAATTTCCCCTTGTTCTGTTCCCCAATCTGTGAACTGGGGATAACATTTACCTGCCTAGCTCACTGCATTACGGTCTCCAGGGCACTTTAGCTTCATAGAAACCTTGCACTCTATTTAATAGCAGTCTCATTTGTTGACTTGGCAAGGTGGGTAGGGAAGTCAACTCATCTCACAATGAACATGCACACCAATGGCTAGATCACTGTCACCACATGCAAACTCACCTGTGGGTCAACTCTGATGAAGAGATAAACTTGGGGGTGGGGGGGGGGAAGAGTCAATATATCTGACAAGATGCCACACTGCATTGGAAGTTTCTGGAAGTCGTGACTCAGTACATTTTTGTATCTCACCCATTGGGTCATAGATTCAGGTGATGGGGACACTGTGGTGCAGGAAAGAAAGTGGCTGACCTGCTCAGGAGCACTGTGGGAGAGTAGATTAGACACAGCATTCAGAGTCAGAACTCTGAGGGTCTCATATTGCTTCCAACATTTACCCCATCAACTTGGGGCCAGTCACTTTATCTCTCTGCTTCCCTGGATGTAAAATGGGGATAATACTTATAGTTTCGTCACAAGTTAGTGCTCTGAAAATAAGACACTACAGTAAGTGCTGTTCATTACAGGAGGGGCACCCTGCATCACTTCACAAGGGTTTCTAAAATGTTTAAATTTGTTTCAATTTATGAACTTTTTCTCTTTGTCCTGTGAATCAGGGATGGCACATCTCTGTCTCTCTCCCTACAGCAACCTAAGCAGAGACAAATTAGTGCTTATGTATACGCTACACAAAGTTTTTATTTTTTTGCATTAAAACCTCTCTCTCCTTTCTCGGCCCCCCCCCGGGAGCTTTTCCTAGCCAGAAAACAAGTCCAGTAATGTTGGCATTAAAGTCAACTTTTTCAACTCATGAAGTCAAAATCATTTTGAAATTTGACAAAACCTCTTCAGCCCTTATTTTTAGGTATTAACGTTATCTACACAGGAAAGCAAGAGCAGTGGTGGCAAGAAACGTTGCGTGAAAGTGGGAAATAGCTGGCTTTCTCCAGACCTTTCTTAACCCAAGCATAAAGCACTATGTTTATTTTTTTCATGCTAGGAAAGGCACCACCACTCATGCATAAACGCCACATTATATAATTTGTCAGTCCAGTTATGTTTTAAGTCACAGTTTGATCTCATTCACATTCCACATCTGACACCATCAGTACCCCCTAAATTCATAGAACAACCTAAATAAGTCTACAATAATTAATAAGATTTAGCTTATAATAGGAGTTTATTGCCTGGACAGTGGTTGACTGCAAGCCCTAAAGAAAAAACTGTTATACATTTTTTGTGCTTTTCAATTTTTACTCACAAACCTCCAGAGTCTTAAGATTAAAACCAGTTAGGATAGCTCCAATTCAAAGCATCTTAAAAAAAAAAATCACAGAGTTAATTCAGCTCTAATTTAACAGAATATTTAAAACTAAAGCTGATTTATTGCAACATCGCCAGGGCTCTTAAGGAACAAAAAATAAATGTCAATGCAATGAGTTGCGTAAAAAACCTTGGGGAATGATTGAAGTGACAAGTTTCCTGCAATAGTGTTCAAGATTTTGTGGCGAGGCAGCACTTAAAAAGAAATACCCACATTTAGGAGCAGAATTGAGCAGCTAGTTTTAGTGCTGCCCATCAAGGCAGTGCTGAAAACCTCACTTATGGGATGTAAAAGAGATCACAAAATCACTGTATGACTAATGTACATCACTGCCTTGAGAAACTGCATCACAACAACTTTGATACAACTTTCTGCCGAATGTGAATTACAATGTTGTCATGTAGGAATTTATCCCATTAGAAAAGCTTGAAATATAATGGTCACACTAAGGCGGGGTGGGTAATAATTTTTGATAAGGGGCCACTCCAAGAATTTGGTAAGTGGTCAAGGGCCACACTTTTCCGTGATATTAATGGAGGAGCATGGAGGTTGAGCACAGAAGGAGGTGCAGGAGGGGGTGTGGCATCCGGATGAAAGAGGGAGTTGTGACTTGGAGCAGGGGATTAGGGTGCAGGAGGGGGTGCAGGGTCTAGGAGGGGATATGGGTGCAAAAGAGGATTCTGACTTGGAGTACGGGTTTAGGGGAGGATGCAATGTCTGGGAAGGGGTTGTGACCTGGGGCAGTGGTGCAGGCAGGGGTTTGGGTTGTAATCTAGGGCAGGAGGAAGTTGTGACTTGGGGCAAGGAACTGGAATGCAGGATCTGGGAGGGAGGTGGGTGCAGAAGAGGATTCTGAACTAGAGGAGGGGTAAAAGAGGAAGTGGAGAGTCTAGGAGAGCATTGTGACCTTGAGCAGGGGATGCAGGATCAAGGACATAAAGGGTTTATGTTGTGACTTGAGGCAGGGGAGGAGGAGACAGTTGGGGGCAGGGAGGGCTAGCGTGCCAGAGGCAGGCACTGACCTAGGTGGTTCCTGGCCAACAGCCTAGTAGAACCCCTCAGGCAGGCTCCCTGCATTCTACACCCCTGCACATGGCTCAGAGTAGGGATGTAAGTGACCAGACGACTAGTCAACTATTCGATAAGCATAAGCTTATCAGATAGTCAAGTAGTGACTCGACTAGTCACTTCCCCATGTCACTCCCACTCTGCTGCCTCTATCAGAGAGAGGCAGCAAAGGAGGCGGGGAGCAGGAGCCGGTGCTGGGGGAGCCAACTTAAAAGCCAGTTCCCCTCAGCACTGTTTGGAGGGACAGGGAAAGCAGAGATGTAGCTGGGACCGAGCATGAGCCTGGTGACTCTTAATACATTTAAAAGGCAGAACTGTAACAGGGTTAGCTCACGGGGCCAGGAGCTAACCCTGCTGTGGCTCCGCAGTTTCCTCCCTTATTGACTAATTGAGTAGTTGATGGAA